CCCCAAAACCCCAAAACCCCAAAACCCCAAAACCCCATAATATCTCTTTCGTATTGCCTTTAATTTATTAAAGTTTATTATAAATGGAGAGAACAAAGAACAGTGAGGAGCGAGGGTCGACTTTTTCTCCTGAAGAAAGAAAGAGCGACACAATGTTAGAAGAGAAGGATCCAGCAGAGACTCCCTTGCTAGGTTACACTTTATCAGCGAATAGTGAGAGGGACTCTTCAAAATCTGATCTGCTCTCAATATCTCCGAATAATATAGATTATGGACTCTCTGAGAATTGACAAATAACAACCCTTGAGTATAATAAAATGAAAATGTGGGCGTTTTATATCATATTTGGGATACTTACCGTAGGAATAATGCCAATATTATCAATCTGGATAGTAGACCTCAAAGTTTTCATGATGTACACCAAAATTAATGGAAATGTAAGCGAGGATTTTCCTCAACCCCTTGGTCCCTCCTGGATATCTTGTCACCCTCTCAAAATGCCAGCCAGGGCTACCATATAAGTTATGATTAATATTCGTACATCTTCTGGAATCTGAGATAATTGTATTTTTATAGGTTGAAGAAGCCACCCATCTTAAAATATATGAAAAGTCCAAAGGTTCAGGAATTGTGGAACTGAAAAAGAGTAAGTAGCATGCTTTTACTCTAAATAGGTACTAAGAGAAGCACCCTCCCCCATTCAGATGGAAGGATCCTTGATAGAGTCGGAGATGAAGAATATATCAAGGAGATCAAGTTCAGATACAGATATCTTACCTACAACTATTGTTATGAATCAGAGAAATTTGAGACGGTTGCTTATGATTTCCACTACAACTATAATAAAATTCACTCAAGAAGTTGAGGATTAACAAAAGATCAGCTATGGGAGAGCCAAGACAAATACGGAGACTGCACTATGAATATCATAATTAGACCCTGGTACAGGATAGTTTTCGAAGATATTCTCAACTTCTACTATGGAATACAGGTCTTTAGTGTCGTCATTTGGTGCATGAATGGGTATTATAGGTCAGGAGTGGTAATTGGTAAGAGTTATTTTAACGATTTTAGGTGCCATGACATTCGCATCTATTGTTGCAGAACTTTATGATGAAATTAGGAGTCTTAAAAGACTCAAAGAAATGGCTCACTATGAGACCAGCATTTATGTCAAACGCATAGGGTCTGATGGGGTTTCAATATCAACTGAGATTAATAGCAATGAAATTGTCCCAGGTGATATTATTCTTGTCCCAGAAGGCAAACAAATCCCCTGTGATGCTATTCTCCTCGAAGGCGAATGTGTTGTTAATGAAGCCATGCTTACTGGTGAAAGTCTCCCAGCCATCAAGACAGCTCTTCCTAAAAGTGATGAGCACACTGTAGATGACTTTTCAATAGAGAACACCAAACAAGTAACTTGTGAATGTAACCATATAGAAAATGTATTTCTTATTTGCTGGGACTGAAATTGTGCAGTCAAGAATGATGAATTACCAGACTCCTCCTTATGCATTGGTGACAAGAACCAATTTCTTGACGACAAAGGGGGCTTTGATAAGATCAATATTGTACTCTGCTGTTAAAAGATTTGACTTCCAGTCTGAAGCGTGATATGTCCTTTTTGTGTCATTCTTCCTTACAGCAGCTATTATGGGAACTGTACTTCCTAAATTCATCGACAACTTCAGCACATATGATGTTGTGATTAGAACAATGAATGCTTTAACTGTTGCTATTCCAGCTATGCTTCCAGTTTGCATGAGTATCGGAATCCTCTTTTCATACACAAGACTCTATCTGAATGAGATATACTGCTCTCAGCCAAGGAAGATAGAAGCAGCTGGGAGAGTAAAGACCATGATTTTTGATAAAACAGGAACATTGACTCATGAAGGCCTCACTGCTACAGGAATAAAGGTTTCTAATCAGAAAGATTTTAACCCTACGATTAGAAACATTTCTCAAGAGATAGCTACCTTTCAAAGTAATCTAAATATTGATAAGTATGACTCTGAAGAAATCTTTACTAAATTTATTGAATGTATGGCCTGCTGCCATTGATGAACCTATATCAATGAAAAATTAGTAGGAGATCCCCTAGAGGTTGAAATGTTCGAAAAGTCAAACTGGGTCATGGACGAGAGTGAAGAACAAAATAATCATAAAGGTGGTAGATACCTTGCAACATTTTACCCGCGAAATGAATCTAATGTAATCACAGACGACCCTGAACTCAACAGAGAGATCCTCAAACTCAATATTTTGCTGAAGAACGAGTTCCAGTCTGAACTTCAAAGTATGAGCGTCATTGCCAAGAACAACATTGATGGATCTTTGGTGTGATTTATGAAAGGATCTCCAGAAAAGATATTTTCAAGGTGCGATCAATCTACACTCCCTAGTAATTATATGACAGAGGTAGATAAAATAGCTGAAAAAGGACTTCGAGTGATCTCGTTAGCATACAGAACTATTGATCCACTGTTCTTCAACATTGAACATCCCCCAAATAGAAAGGAACTTGAAAAGAATATGACATTCCTTGGCTTTATTATATTCGAGAACAAGCTTAAAGAAAACACAGCAGAATGCATTCGGGAACTCAACGATGGAGAAATAAAATGAATCATTGCAACTGGAGATAATGGCAAAACAGCTAGTTCTGTGGCTAGGAACTGAGGCATAGTTTCAGAAGACTCATATTTCAGAATCCTCCTTGATGAATCTGACAAAAATGCCAAAAAGCTGACATGTGAGTTGGTAAAAGAGAATAATTCATCCAATCGGAATAGAGGTTTTGTAGTATTGGATGAAGAAGAAAATCATTTAGGAGATACTGACGAAGAGGCTGAAGAAAACCAGCCTTTTATTCCTAATGACCCTCAAGAGAGAAATGCGAATGGAGATCCTTTTGATTTAATGATGGATCCAAACTCTTTATTAAGTGTATCTATCAATGGCAAAGCCTTTAACCACCTTCTTAAAATGCCACGAGAAGAAATGATCAATGACAAATACAATGCACAAGAAATCCTCGATAAAGTTGTTAAAGATTGAAAAGTTTTCTCAAGAATGTCACCCAAGCAGAAAGCGAAGTTGGTCAAGAAAATGCAAGGAAATGGACAAATTGTAGGAATGTGTGGAGATGGAGCAAATGACTGTACTGCTTTGAAAACTGCAGATATTGGGCTTTCGCTATCACAAGCTGAAGCTTCGATTGCAGCACCTTTCACTTCAAAATCACAAGATATCTCATCTGTTATAATACTGCTGAATCAAGGAAGAGCAGCTTTAGATCTCAGCACTACTCTGTTTAAATTTGTAATTCTTACCTCTTCAATTCAGCTTTCGAGCATGATTATTCTCTATTACAGTACTTCAAATCTCGATGATCTTCAGTACGGATATATAGGACTATGTCTGGTTTTTCCTATTCTCTTGTGAATTTGATTAATGAAACCTAGTGACAGACTCGTCTCAGAACTTCCCATTCAGTCTTTTCTTCATTGGTCTATCATCCTCAGCATTATCGGTCAATCTCTTATAAGCATTGGTGTACAAATTGGAGGATACTTCGCAATGAGAGGAGAAGACTATTTCACAGTGGCTCCTGAATCAGATGATTACACTACAGATGGATACGAAACCACAGCAGTATTCTTGACATCGACTCCCCAATACCTCTTCATTGGGATTGTGTTCAACTTATTCACTAAGTTCCGGATGCCGCTCTACAAAAACTATGTTTTTATGCTAATCCTTCTTGTTCAAGTTGGTATAACGTACTGGATAATAATTAGACCAGCCAAATTTATGAGAGACGATCTTGAACTAATGGAACTTGATAGCGAATTCAGATGGTTCCTCTGCCTGATCACTATCTGCAATGGTGCAGCCTGAGTCTTAATGGAGCTTATAATCTATCTGCTGTATCAATATTTTAAATAATTGCTAATAAAGGCAGGCATTTAGATGAGCTTTTACACAATGGAGCATTTTTGCGTTATGAGTTTAAAATTTAGGATAATTTATGTAAATTATCATTTCTTTCAATCATCGGACGACCATTTGGGGTTTTGGGGTTTTGGGGTTTTGGGGTTTTGGGGTTTTGGGGTTTTGGGGTTTTGGGG